GTTGTGTCTTTGAGCAAGACACTTTACCCCACTCAGAGTGGGATGGTTGTGAGTTCAAGGCTACCCCACATCATGCTGTTGTGTCTTTGAGCAAGACACTTTACCCCACTCAGAGTGGGATGGTTGTGAGTTCAAGGCTACCCCACATCATGCTGTTGTGTCTTTGAGCAAGACACTTTACCCCACTCAGAGTGGGATGGTTGTGAGTTCAAGGCTACCCCACATCATGCTGTTGTGTCTTTGAGCAAGACACTTTACCCCACTCAGAGTGGGATGGTTGTGAGTTCAAGGCTACCCCACATCATGCTGTTGTGTCCTTGAGCAAGACACTTTACCCCACTCAGAGTGGGATGGTTGTGAGTTCAAGGCTACCCCACATCATGCTGTTGTGTCCTTGAGCAAGACACTTTACCCCACTCAGAGTGGGATGGTTGTGAGTTCAAGGCTACCTCACATCATGCTGTTGTGTCCTTGAGCAAGACACTTTACCCCACTCAGAGTGGGATGGTTGTGAGTTCAAGGCTACCCCACATCATGTTGTTGTGTCCTTGAGCAAGACACTTTACCCCACTCAGAGTGGGATGGTTGTGAGTTCAAGGCTACCCCACATCATGCTGTTGTGTCCTTGAGCAAGACACTTTACCCCACTTGTTTCAGAAATATGCAGCTTTTAGTTGTAGGTTAACCTGGGATGGGATGGCATCCCATCCAGGGAAATGGGTAACCATTCTCATCTGCTTACACAACTTGAAACCGGAGTTCAAAACCACCGGCCCTGTGTGCTTTACAAAGGCATGGAAAGGATTTAACTCAACCTTTACTAGTTCCAGAAAGTCTTGAAATCTGGTTGTCAACTCTCTAATTACTTACTAATTTTTATACTTTTTTACTACTGATGAGCTCCACACATATCATCATATTAAGTTATTCTACTTTTATGCCTGTTACAACACTCAGTGTAAAGAACTAATGAAAACAGTTAGGAACTCGGCAGTAATAAGCGGATTAATGCAAAATTGTGTTACATTTTAGTATATGATTGATGATTTATTAGAGACCAGACAGAATCGTGGCTCCACGAGCAGTTTGTTGCATAACTAACTTAGAAAAACATGTTTAAAACGTCGTTGAATATAATTAATATTCCAGGATCTATAAAAAATTCACATGACTTTGTTCTTGTTGTAAGTCATGAGAAATTTGTGAAAATTCAGATGTTTCTGAATATTCAGCTAAGTTTGCCTTCATTATAACTTTAAATTTACTTTACTGTACAATAATGTAACTTCAGTTCACTTTATAGACTGTTATAAACACCTTTTAGTTACTTTTTTCTATATTACGGTGTTTATTCTTAGTTTTTTTTTAGTTTCTTTGTTTCAACCAGTAAAACTGTGTCATACACTGAACACTCATAACTGTTTCATACTCTGTACACTATTATAAGTAGCATTAAGTTACTTTATTGTTTATTTTAGGTATAGCTTTGTTAAATTTTATTTTATTAATTCTAAACTTGTAAAGAAAAAGTTGTGAACTGTATTTGGTGCCTGAGTTATATAAACCCTTTAGAGACATTTTCTTATTAAGTCAGTTGTGTTTAGTTATGCTACAAACTATATAGAAAAAGTCACTGTCATTATACAGATAAATATGTAACCTCCAAAACAGTACTTCTATTTATATATGTAGCTATTTAAGGAGTTTTCACTGAAATTCCTAAATCTAGCAAAGAAAATTATCACCTAACATCTCAAGCAGTTGAAAAACTTGACTAATTCCAGAGGTCAAATAAACAAATTTCCATTGATTTACACAGAGTTGGTAGTATAACTAGCAATCAAGTGTCTGAACTTTCAACATTCCTCTAGGGACCAGTTAACAAAATGTTCAACAATTTGTTATCATGTGCATAAATCACTGGTGTTTATGTTTCTGTAATTGAATCATAAAGCTACTTATTGTGTATCTTCTACTTGGCAGATCAGAGTAAGCAAGAAGTTTAATATCATGATAAAAATTAATCAGAATTTTTCTCCCAATTAGATGTATATACTTTAACCCAAATGGAGAATGCCTGTTCTGTGGGGCTCCAGATGTTCTGAAGGTGTACGGATGGGAACCAGCTCACACTTTCGACTCTCTGGTGATAGGTTGGGGAAAGGTTATCGACTTAGCCACTTCTCAGAACCAACTGGTAGGCTGCAGTATAAATTCAAGTTAAAAAAACACAGACAGGCAGATAAGCACACTTATGAAACCTTTTTTGTTTCTTGAAAGCTTCAACTGTTTTTTAGCAATAATTTTTAAAACTGAAACATTTGCAAACTTTTCATTTCATTATTTCATGATTTTTGGAAAACAGTTTTATCTGATTTGTTTAGAATAAATATGGAAACTGAGAAAAATTCACAATACTATTATTATTTCCATTTTTATTTTCCTCTTTTGAGCCAATTTTATATTATTGATGACTGTAACGTTCAGATGTTTGTATTTATTAACTTCATTGTTACATCAAAAAATGTTTTGTTGACAGTTTGCTTGTGTTTGTCTCTGAAACTTTTCTTGCAAGTTTCTTCATAAAATTCTACATATCTCATATCATTAGAAAGGCCTTTGTCCAAGGATTTCGGATTGCATACTGGCTTTTCCATTCAATTACCTCACCTATGTTTTTCTTAGTCAAACTTTTTAATGTAACAAGTATGCTAAACGATTACACAATGTCGTTATCATCAAATGATAACTGCCTTGATTTCAACTTTAGTTTTTTTTATTTGTAAAATATTTCACACCAACAATACCAATGTAATTTTCTAAAAAAAAATGAATTACACTAAATACAATTTCTATGGACTTTCTCAACTTATATAAGTTTAAAATACACACGCGCAGTTCATTCAAAACCATATGCTTATCATTTTGAGAACGTGTACTCAGATGTTTCTGCATATTCAGCTAAGTTTGCTATCATTAAAACTTTACATTTACTTTACTTTGCAATAATTTAGCTTCAGTTCATTTTGTAGATTGCTGTAAACACCTAAAAGGTACTTTTTTCTTTACTATGGATTTTATTCTTCATTTTTGTGAATTTCTTTGTTTCAGCTCATAAACACGTGTCATACATTGAAGGCTCAT